ACACGAGGCCTAAAGCAGTGTAGAAACGCTGATGATCACTAGGCGGAAGTGCCTTGGTGAATATATCAGCAGTATTGGCCCGAGTGGCCACGTAAGCAAGACGAAGCTGACCACGCTGCTGCAACTCTCGAGCAAGGAAGTAACGCAGAGTGATGTGCTTCGTTCTGTGCTCCAGTTTGTGCTCCTGACATGAGGTAATCGCGGCCTTGTTGTCTAGATACAGAACTGGAGGAGAACAAGGCCGCTCTCCCAAGTCGGTCAGCAGGTAGGTGAGCCAGCGTAACTCCTGTGCAGCCATGGCTCCCGCGTAGATCTCAGCCTCACAACAGGAGCTGAGAACAGAAGAAGATCGGGTAGCCCGCCAAGAAACAGAGCCGGAACCAAGGCTGAACGTGTAACCCTGTGACGACCGCTGCGTAGCCAGGTCGTCAACCCAAGAGGCGTCTGAGTGTCCAGTGAGGACAACTGAACTCCGTCCTCCAAGCACGAGCCCCATGCCTGATGTACTGCACAGGTAGCGCAACACCCTCTTAGCGGCCGGGCGCAACGTAGCGTGCCAGGATGCTAAGAGGGTACGCAAGGACACGTCGAGTGCAGGTCATCAGGTACATGAGGTAGCCCACAAGCTCTGGATACGGGCCACTCGGCTCTACAGACTCGTCCAAAGGTGGAGCTGAGAGCGAATGACCGGTAGGCAGAGGAGTGGACTGTGGCGAGGAGAACCGGAAGCTGAAGCACTTAAGGACTTGGTGCACCATGTGTGACTGAGTCAGGGTGATGGTGTGCCGCGCTCTTTCTCCGGTGATCTGCAAACCAAGATAGCTGCGCAGCTTACCCAGGTCAGTGGACGTGTGTCTCTTCTGTAGCTCCGACTTCACAAGAGCCAGTCCCTCCGAGTCAGCAGTGGCAAAGACCAAATCATCAATGTATACGAGAATGTAGAAAGGAGGCAGTGAAGTGTCGGTGCGCAGAAACAACGACGGGTCAGCAGTGGAAGGAGCAAACCCAAGAGCCGCAAGTGTCGTCATCAGTGTCTCGTGCCACTCATGAAGCGCCTAGCGGAGACCGTAGACTGGCCGTCGGAGGCTCCACTAGGTACCCTTAGGAAACGACCCAGTTAAGCCAGATGGGCGGCGCAGCTAGATCTCCTCGTGCAGACTGCCTTGTAAGAAAGTTGTGCTGAAGTCAAGAGAGTGAAGCTCGTAGTCACGCTGAGCGTCAACCTGCAGCAACACCCAAAGAGTGGTCATCTTCGGGGTAGGGGAGAAGGTCTGGAAGTAGTCAACTCCCTGTCGCTGACTAAAGCCTCGTGCAACGTAACGAGCCTTGAAGACAGGCGGAGAACCCGGCGGCCGCTTCACCCTGAAAATCCACATGCCATCGACTATGTTCGCCTTTAGGAAGGGGAACTACGTCGACGTAAGTGCCTGTGGACTTCCAGGATGCCATCTCTGTGTCCATGGCTGTCTGCCACTGAGAGGAGTAGGGACTCGTAATCGCCTTTGCGTAAGAACGCGGGGTCGGGATGTCCAGTGAATCCGTGTCTCCCTCAGGTGCAATCAGCATGGACACGAGATGAGGTACAGCAGCTGCAAGACACTCAAAGTCCTCCTGCCTGTCCTCAAGGACGTCCGTGCCAAGAGCACACTCACCCCCAACGGACGGAGGACAGACAGACTCAGACACAGCAACAAGACTAGTGGCATAGTCTAGACGACACGCAACAGCCAGCAAAGTCAACAAGCTCAGCAACTAAGGCAGACGCAGCTGTGGACTCAAAAGAAGGGTCAGTGACAACAGTGGCGAGGAGACGTGTGACAGTAGGGCTGGCAGCACGAACCAAGTCAGACTCAGGGTCCGGAACGTCAGGAAGAGAGGACGCTGGAGGAGACGGCAGAGCAACACGCTGCGGAACAGAGGAAGAACGAAGTGCCATAGTGTGCGTGCCGGGGACAGGTGGAGGACGAGGACGGGGAACACGACGAGCACGGCGAACAGTGCGAACTGGTGAGGCCGGACGAGACACAGGCTCACGACGCTCTGTAAGGGAGACTGGCTGCTCAGTGTAACGAGGGGGGGCAGGCAGCGGTGAGTCTGGAGGAAGGGCAGTGGACGAAGGAAGACTAAGAACCTGACGGAGCACCGAGGCAGGTGGTAGCAGTAACAGCTGCGGCAGTGGCAAGAAAAATGGTCGCCACTGCACAGTGCCTCCAGCACCAGTACCGCCAGCTCCAGTGCCTCCAGTGTCAGCACCTCCCGCTCCTGGGTCTACAGCTCCAGCGCCTCAAGCTCTAGTACCTCTAGCTCCAGTACCTCCAGTACCAGCAGCTCCACGACCTCCAGCTCCAGTACCTCCAGCGCCTCCAGCTCCAGTGCCTCAAGCTGTAGCGCCTCCAGCTCCAATGCCTCAAGCTGCAGCGCCTCCGGCTCTAGCAGTGCCACTCCGAAGGCGGGTGCGCCGAGCAAACCACTCGCGCAGCTGCTGTGGTGAGAGAGGCTCCCGCCGGCTAGACTGCTGCGGCAAGGCACCCGTAGGACCTCCAGCAGACGCAGCACCCCTAGGCTCAGCACCCCCAGACTCAGCACTCCCAGGCTCCGCACCTGCAGGCTCAGCACCCCCAGGCTCCGCACCCTCAGGCCCAGCAACCCTAGGCTCGGCACCCGCAGGCTCAGCACCCCCAGGCTCCACACCCGCATGCTCAGCACACCCAGGCTCCGCACGCTCAGGCTCAGCACCCCCAGGCTCCGCACCCGCAGGCTCAGCACCCCCAGACGCAGCACCCCGAGCAGCACCACCCCCAGCAGCACCAGAGTCGCCAGTGACCTCGACAGGCTCAGCCAAGGAGAGGGGGTCTACCTGAGACACACCTAAAGGAGCAGGACCCTGAGGGGGGAGGGGGTCTACCGGAGGGGGGGGACCTAGAGCGAGGAGGAGCGGCAGGGGGGGGAGAGGGGCTGTGCGGTAGGGGAAGAGACGGTAGAAGGGAACCGACTCGTCAAACGTGACGTCCTGAGAGGACAGAACACGGCGCGAGGTGGGGTGGTAAAACTGCCAGCCAGGCGCATCAGGGGGAAAGCCAAGGAAGACACAGGGAATGGCGCGGGAGGAGAGCTTGTCCGCGGAGGTATCGCGGACAAAGGCACGAGCACCCCAGACCCGAAACACCGACACATCGCCAACCTCCCCCGTTGAGCGTAGTGTAGGCGAGGTCTCCGGCAAGGAGACACGGGGCCAGAGGTTGAGCCGATGCGCAGCGTACCGGACTGCAAACGGCCACAGAAAATGGGGAGCAGCCGCATGGATCATGGAGGTACGAGCCACCTCCATGACTAAGCCAATGCGGCGCTCAGCATTCTGCTGTGGGGAGGCCGGAAGCGTGAACGACTGGAGGATGCCCTCCCCACGACAAAAGTCCCGCAAGAGGTTGGAGGAGAACTCACCGCCTCTGTCAGAGTGCAGACGCAGGACAGGAAGGTCCGTGCGGAACCGCTCGCGGAGCTGGAGACGGACAGCGCGGATCCAAGGGATCAAGACATCAGGGACCTCCCCCTTGCTGCGCAAGGGGAAGACCATGGTGTAACGCGTGTAGTCGTCAACACGCTGCCCTCCAGGGGTAAAGGTATCAACCCACTCATGCGTCTTGAAGGACTGCATTGCTCACCAAGTTTGTCGAGAACGAGGGGAGGTGGAGACCTGACAGTGAGCCGGACGGAACCGCCGGACACGGGAGAACAGTGGAGGAACGTGCAAGAACCGGGCCCCCAGAGGGGTCAGCCAGTGAGACTGCAACGGGTGCAGGGAGTGGTGTGACTGTGGTACTGTCGCGAAAGAAACAGCGGGAAGCACCTGAGTCCAGGGCTGTCGCTTGCAGGGCGTTTGCCCTGCTGGACCTTGAATTCCAGGGCTAATTTACCCTTGGAAACTGAAATTGATGGGTTGGAAAATTTCTGGCCCTGATTCCTTACAGGGCTGATTTTGGGCTGAGGCCTGGTGTGTAAAGTGTAGATTCTAGGCGAGCCCTGGAACAGATTCTCTTGAGCCCCCCACACACACCTTCCTCTCCCCCACAACCCCTCCAATCTTCTCTTCCCCCCGTTTCTGTCCTGACCAGATTGCAGATTTGGGTGTGGTTAGGCCCCAAATTTCACTCAACCTTACTTAGTACTTGCGCCAATCACAACTTCGCTCCCTAACAAAATGAATCGGCAATCACAACTTAGTACTTTCTCCCTAACTTTGCCAATCACAACATGAATTGGCATGGCATTAGCAAAACACCCTCAGAGTGGCAAGATGACTACCCCACCCTCGTGCACAAGATCATCAGTGCTGCCTGCCAGGCTACGGGGCCTGCTAAGCGTGCGTAGTGAAATGACATGAACTAGTGGTTTTTTGTTTGCTTGTTGTTGTTAATCTCAGAGTATCGTACCAAACCTAATTCAAAGGGAGGAATAAATTGCATCCCTGAAGCCTAAAGGGCCGAGATTCACCCAACCCTGCTAAATACAGGGTCGTACATGCCGGGCCCCCTGATTTGTCTGGGGGGGCCAAAACGAAACGACAGCCCTGCACCTGAGTCAAGCGTGAATGTGTGCAAGGCCTCAGCACGCGCAATAGTAGAGAGAGTAGACTCACTAGCACCTAGAGCAGCAGCCTCTATACCTGGGTCGGGCGGCACACACAGGTAGCAGTCACCCTCAGCACTTACGGTCAAAGCATACATGGCAGCAAGGATAGCGTCATAGTCAAGAGCAAAGATATCAACACCAGACCTAAGCAGCTCTAGCCAGCGGGGGAGCTCAGCCTCGTCGCCAAACTCTGCGCGCCAAGCGTCGTCAAGGCGGGAGAAGCAGCGGTGCTGTGTGTGATACTTTCCGCACGTCTGACCAGCGCGGTCACCTGTGCGAATGACGTACGGGCAGCGAACACTACCCCCAGACGCCCCACGCTGAGCAAACCACTCACGAAGCTGCTGGGGCGAAGGGGTCTCATGCGGACGCTATTGCTGGTGCCTCTGGCAACTACCAGAACCTCCCCTCTGAACGGCTCCACCCCGACCTCCACCACTGCCGCCGCCACCACTCCCACCACCGCCACCACTCCCACAGCCGCCACCAGCGCCTCCACCACTCCCTCTGCCACCACCAGCGCCGCCACTACTCCCACCGCTACCACCACCGCCGCCACCGACGCCCCAAGTCCCGCCACCACTCCCACCGCCACCACCGCCACCTCCACCGCCTCCCCTGCTGCCACCTCCAACACTCTTGCCTCCTTTGCCCTTGCCGCTCCGGCGCCTCCCACTAGAAGCAGACGCAGCCCCGACCTCCTCAGCACCAAGGAAGTCAACAGCAACAGCAGCAGCGTAGGAGGGGGCAAGGGGGGAGGGGGAACACCCCTCAAAGAAGGGAGTGCGAGGAGTGCCACGAGCAGCACCTACAGCGACTATGCTAGTCTCAGCTGCAAGGAGGTGCTTCTCGAGCAGGTCGACAGTGAGGTCTGTGGGGTCAAGGGCGAGAAAGTGGTCCCTGACTGCGCGAAGAGAGTCAGGGAGGCGGGTGACTATGAAGTAGAGAGTGATGTACATCGGGGGCGGGTTCTTGTCTAGGAACTCGGCTTTAAGCGCGGCGCGGTAGCGAGTGTCGCTAGTGCGAAGGTGGGTGATGAGGTCATCGAATGTGGCAAAGGCTGACATCTCGGGAAAAAGGTAGGGCAGTATAAGGCGGCCGAGAGCAGCAGTGGCAGGGGAGGAGTAACGAGCGACTACAGCGTCGAACAAGGCTTTGGCAGTCTTTTGCTGGCCAAAGTGAGCGCGTTCGGCTAACGGCATGTGTTTGCGAACGGCTAAGCGAGCACTAGCATCACAGGTAAGCCACTGTGAGCGAGTCGCACTGTCAGCTGTGTCGGGAGGGGCGAGAGAGGCTCCAGACGTGTGGTCAAACAACGAGAACGCCGAAGGTAGCCATAGCTAGCAGAGAGGGTAGCGCGTAACGTGAAGGACAGCACGCAGGCAACAAGACGGCGCGACGGTCAGGGCGGCGCGTGTGCACTAGGGAGGCGCGCAGGGCAGGGCAGGGCGGCGCACGGTCAGGGAAGGGCGGTGCGTAGGGCAGGGCTGGGCAGCGCGGCAGCCTGCAGGGCGGCGCGCGGGCAGGAAAGGGCGGTGCACGGCTAGCTGGGCAGCGCGCGGGCAGGAAAAGGGCGGCGCGGCAGGCTGCAGCGCTGCGCGCGGGCAGGGCAGGGCGGCGCGCGGGCAGGAAAGGGCGTGCGCGGGCGGCGCGACGCAGGGCAGGGCGTGCGCGGGCAGCGCGACGCAGGGCAGGGCGTGCGCGGGGCGGCGCGACGCAGGGCAGGGCGTGCGCGGGGCGGCGCAACGCAGGGCAGGGCAGGGCGTGCGCGGGGCAGCGCGACGCAGCGCAGGGTAGGGCGTGCGCGGGGCGGCGCAACGCAGGGCAGGGCAGGGCAGACGCGGCGCGCGCGACGCAGGGCAGGGCGTGCGCGGGGCGGCGCGATGCAAGGCAGGGCGTGCGCGGGGCGGCGCAACGCAGGGCAGGGCAGGGCGTGCGCGGGCAGCGGCGCTACGCAGGGCAAGGCAGGGCAGCGCGACTGGTGGGGCAGCGCGACTGGTGGGGCAGCGCGACGGGCAGGGTACTATTCGGTGGGCCCTAAAAAAAACAGTCCTCGAATAGGACCTGCTCTGAAACCATGTCAGAATACTGAACGAGGATGAATGCATTGAACAGAAAGTTGGTACAAGTACTAACCCTAATTGGGTTGTCGTTACCCGTTATGGGCTACCCCACTACAGCCTACAGAATATAAACATTATAACAGTTTGACACTAGCAATAGTCGCGGTTATTGTAGCAATACAATTGAATAATCGAATGTACCCCTCAGTGTACATGGCTAGTTAGGAGTGCTATTTATACTCTTGTACTCTAATTCTCTAACCATCTTGTTCTCTTTTTATCTATGATTTACAAGGTCATTACAAGAATTCATTGTCTTTTTACAACTTAGCAAGTCCTATCATATCCACTACGATTCCCGGTTATATAAAAATGGTATGAGAGTTAGAGTGGAATATAAGGTCTACTAAGTTCCTGTTCTTCCTAGGGCAGACTCTTTACATATCTATCGATTAAATATTTATTACAACTCTGCATCGCTATGGCTTCTGAAGGGAAAACCATTGCAGACTCTCCGGGCCCACCAACAGGAAAAACTAATGCGCCATCAGCGGTGACCCCGTTAGCGCCGCCCTCGTTGAGTAGCTCGTCGCACGCATCAACGCTCTTGAGAGCCATCAAGCCATGAGCATTGACGGCTCAAGTTATGCAAGAGGAGTTGCTGGACTACCTCTTCCAGGAGAAGACCGCCGCGTCAACTCTGAGAGGCCATTCACATTTGACAATCGTCAAGCTTCAGCTCCTGCGCACGACAGTCAACAACGCGCACAGTCAGAGACAATTGTAACAATGCAAACAAAATTCGTCTTAACAAATATGAAGACTTCAACGCCTTTCGACGGAAAGGATTTCTATACGTGGAGATTCGAATTCAAGCTCCTCACTACCACCGCGCAGATCTGGATGTATCACATCGGGAGCTTACATTTTCTAGCAGAAGGAACTCTCCAAGAGAAGAATTAGTACTACCACGAGTCACTCCTCGCGTATACTGCTCTTCTCTGAAATCTCTCCCCCGTCGAGCAGCTTGGCATTCGCTCCTACAAATTGGAGTGCTCTCCTACACAAGTATTTTGGGAGCACCTGCGCAATTCATACATGGCAACAGAACCAGTTACCATGAGTCGCCTTCTCGGACAATTAACCTCAGTCAAAATGACTCAAGGAAAGAAGTCGGAACCCAGGGCCTCAGATTCATTTTTAGGGACCCTGGGCCCTCAGGGCATGGCTCAAAATTGCGTGTCCTCCTCAGGGCAGAGCCCCTAGGGGGACCCTGATTTCTCAGGGCATTCCAGACCTTAACCCTGAAACTTCAAGGCATTTTTTTTTTTTTTTTTTGCATGCAGTATTTTTTTGTTTGTGTATTTGCTACACTATGTTCGCCTGGTGGATTACTACTACTACGAGGTGGCCAGGTGCCACCAACATGCACTGCACTGGCTTGAGAGGGGTGGGGTGATGGGAGTTGGCAGACGCCTTGGGCAATGCTGGTAGCGCACAGAGGCAACACGCGGGAACTTGACTAACAATGTGCTACGATTGGTCAACTAGGGATATGCAGCAGCAGACGTTTGAGTTCGTGCATATGGTAAAGTGTTCGTGGTGGGTGTAAAGGGGGTACCGTAACTGGCAGTCACGCCTGCCGCATCGCTGTATGTTGCCCCATGTGGGCCATTTTGTCGTCAATGTGAGTGGTGGTGGGCGACTCGCGTGTTTTCGGCGCCAACTCTCGGAAATCAAAGACTGGCCCCCTAGGCGCACAGTGTACCTGTTTCAGGGTACGCCATACAAGAACGCTGACGCCTCAGGGCAGGCAGGTGTACACTACTCTGAAATCTCAGGGTGATACAACACAGACATCCTGAAACCTCAAGGCTTGAAAAACGTAGACCCTGATTCTTCAGGGCAAGGGGGTTATGTCAACCCTGAAATCAGGGTAATCAGGGTATTTTACCCTGATATCAAGGGTCTCAGAATAACTAGGCAAGAATGAATCAACTAACAGAAGTTTGGGTACAAATATGAAACCCTAGTTGGGGTTGTACCCCATATTGGCTACCCCACTACAGCCTACAAGCATAATACAGTTTAACACACCCCCATAGGCAAAGTGGGGGAGAACAAAGGGTCACAAGACCAGTCCAGCAAAGCAAAACAAAGCCCAGGGTGGATCACAACGTCACCACACTCCGAGCACAAGTAAAGGCCACAAGGCCAGTTCACATGCAGTGCTAGATATAGTACAAGACAAGCAACACAGTGATCAAAACCTAGCAAGCAAGCAACAAGATATATATAAAGTACAGTACAAAGAATGTCAAGCAGTGAGCAAGTGAGGAAACGTGGACACAAGGCCTAAAGAAGTACAGTGCCGCTGATGATCACTAGGCGGGAGTGCCTTGGTGAAGATATCAGCAGTGTTGGCCTTCGAGTCCACGTACACAAGCCGAAGCTGACCGCGCTGCTGAAGCTCTCGAGCAAAAAAGTAGCGAAGAGCAATGTGCTTCGTCCTGTGCTCCAGTCTGTGCTCCTGACACAAGGCAAGAGCCGCCTTGTTGTCACCGTACAGAACTGGAGGAGAACTAGGCCGCTCTCCCAAGTCAGTCAGCAGGTAGGTGAGCCAGCGTAACTCCTGTGCAGCCATGGCTCCCGCGTAGATCTCAGCCTCACAACTAGAGCCAAGAACAGAGGAAGAGCGGGTGGACCGCCACGAGACAGAACCTGAGCCAAGGCTGAAGGTGTAACCCTGTGACGACCGCTGCGTAGCCAGGTCGTCCACCCAAGAGGCGTCCGAGTGACCAGTGAGGACAACTCTGTCGCGTCCTCCAAGCACCAGCCCCATGCCTGATGTACTGCACAGGTAACGCAGCACCCTCTTAGCAGCCTCCCAGTGCTCTCGCCTGTGTCTCCCAGGCGCAACGTAACGAGCAAGGATGCTAAGAGGGTACGCGAGGTCAGGTCGCGTGCAAGTCATCAGGTACATGAGGCAGCCTACAAGCTCTGGGTACGGGCCACTCGGCTCTACGGACTCGTCCGAAGGTGGAGCTGAGAGCGAGTGGCTGGTAGCCAGAGGTGTGGCCTGTGGTGAGGAGAACTGGAAGCCGAAGCGCTGAAGGACCTGCTGCACCATGTGTGACTGAGTCAGGGTGATGGTGCGGCGAGCTCTGTCCCGGGTGATCTGCAAGCCAAGGTAGCTACGCAGTTCACCCAGGTCAGTGCAGGTGTGTCTCTTCTGCAGCTCCGACTTCACACGAGCGAGTGCCTCAGTGTCAGCAGTAGCAAAGACCAAGTCGTCGACGTACACGAGAATGTAGAACGGCGGCAGCGACGTGTCTGTGCGCAGAAACAGCGACGGGTCAGCAGTAGACGGCGCGAACCCAAGAGCCGCAAGAGTAGTCCTCAGTGTGTCGTGCCACTCACGTGGCGCCTGGCGGAGACCGTAGACTGGCCGGCGGAGACTCCACTGGGTACCAGGGGGAAACGACCCAGTAAAGCCAGGTGGGCGGTGCAGCCAGATCTCCTCGTGCAGGCTGCCCTGCAGGAACGCTGTGCTGAAGTCAAGAGAGTGAAGCTCGTAGTCACGCTGAGCAGCAACGTGCAGCAGAACCCGAAGAGTGGTCATCTTCGGGGTGGGGGAGAAAGTCTGGAAGAAGTCGACCCCCTGACGCTGACTGAAGCCTCTAGCAACGTAACGAGCCTTGAAGACAGGCGGAGAACCTGGCGGCCGCTTCACCCTGAAAATCCACATACCATCGACGATGTTCGCCCCAGGAGGGGGAACCTCGTCGACGTAGGTGCCTGTGGACTTCCAGGATGCCATCTCTGCGTCCATGGCTGTCTGCCACTGAGAGGAGTAGGGACCCGAGATCGCCTCTGCGTAAGTGCGCGGAGTGGGG